GGGGGGTATATGTTTTTAGCTCACCTGGCCCGAATGTAAAATGACCTTGACCTACTTTCAAGGTCACAGGGGTCAAATTTGTTTAAAACTTTTAACAATCTTCTCAAGTTCCCTAAGGCCCAGGGTCATAATATTATGCCAGTAGGTACCTGGGATGGAGTGTTATGATGTTTCCTCATTAAAATGACCTTGACCTACTTTCAAGGTCACAGGGGTCAAATATGTTAAAAATTTTAAACAACAACATCTTAAGAACCATTTGGACTAGTAGTGTGAATAATTTTCTTAATTACAGTAATGAGGTCAAAGGTTAACTTTAAGTACTGGTTTTAATTAATGTTTTCTTCCCTAAACAAATTTCAAATTAAAAAAATACCAGATGAGCTATCAAGGCCCCTGGGGCTCTTGTTATCAAGCAAGGTTGATGGATTTTTAAGTCTCTATAAAGTAGGTGGTAGGTGTTTGCATGGCATGTATGATGTAATCGAGCTAGGCATGTTGTTGGAACTGAATGCATGTTTATATATTTTATTTCCCTGTAAGCTGTTCATGCTATTAGGAAACTGATACTCTGTTGCAGCTACTGTTCAACTATTTTTTTATCAGCCTAAAAACTTGTTTGTTTCTTCAAATCAGCTTGATTCTGCACACTTTATTGCCATATGAGTGAAGAGTTGTGTTCAGTGTACTCACAATGAAAACACCTACACTAAAAACTTGTCAAGCCTCCGGCTAAGTTGGATGGCTAGTTCCAGGCATATTAATTATGATTAATGAGGCTGTCCACGCCTGATTGGTTAATTGCTTTGTGTTCAATAACTTCTCTGAAGATATGGTTTGGAATTAACCATATGTAGTGTGCATATTACCAAGTGTCTGACTGTTATTTTGCCAATTATGCCCACTTCTATTTGACGTGGTTAATTGGTGTCTGTGCACGTGTAATAACTAGCCTTAAAATGCTTCCTATTCAACATTTGATGAGTTGGCTCGCCTCCACAATTCATTGATATTTGGCATCTGTATACTGGTTACTTCAATTAAAAGCCGAAATAGTTTGCTCAGTGTTCTATATCCTGTTGAACAGTATGTCTACATCAAACAACCATAATAAACAACAGATTTAACATGTCCTGCAAACCGGCGATAAAATTCCACAAGTTTATTTACATAAAAAAGGTCAATGACAGTGGTAACCTAGTTTGCTTATGAAGCCTTTGGTGAAGGGCTGTTTGACAGAGACGGGTGATGATTTAGTGTGTACAGTGTCACTAAGTGAAACCTTTGGCTNTAGGGGCAGGGGTTTATATGTCTATCAAGGTGTTTGTCTTTATGATGTAAGGGGGCAGGGGTGTATATGTCTTTATCAAAGGGTTTGTCTTTACGATGTAAGAGGGCAGGGGTGTATATGTCTTTACAAGGTGTTTGTCTTAACAATGTAAGGGGGCAGTGGTGTATATGTCTTTATCAAATGGTTTGTCTTTACGATGTAAGGGGGAAGGGGTGTATATGTCTTTATCAAAGGGTTTCGCTTTACGATGTAAGGGGGCAGGGGTGTATATGTCTTTATCAAAGGGTTTGTCTTTACGATGTAAGAGGGCAAGGGTGTATATGTCTTTACAAGGTGTTTGTCTTAATGATGTAAGGGGGCAGTGGTGTATATGTCTTTATCAAAGGGTTTGTCTTTACGATGTAAGGGGGAAGGGGTGTATATGACTTTATCAAAGGGTTTCGCTTTACGATGTAAGGGGGCAGGAGTGTCTATGTCTTTGCAAGGTGTTTCTCTTTACGATGTACGGGGGCAGGGGTGTATATGTCTTTATCAAGGTGTTTGTCTTTACGATGTACGGGGGCAGGGGTGTATATGTCTTTATCAAAGGGTCTGTCTTTACAATGTAAGGGGGTAGGGGTGTATATGTCTTTATCAAAGGGTCTGTCTTTACAATGTAAGGGGGTAGGGGTGTATATGTCTTTATCAAGGGGTTTGTCTTTATGATGTAAGGGGGCAGGGGTTTATATGTCTATCAAGGTGTTTGTCTTTATGATGTAAGGGGGCATGGGTGTATATGTCTTTATCAAGGGGTTTGTCTTTATGATGTAATGGGACACGGGTGTATATGTCTTTGCAAGGTGTCTGTCTTTACGATGTAAGGGGGCAGGGGTGTATGTCTTTATCAAGGTGTTTGTCTTTACGGTGTAAGGGGGCAGTGGTGTATATGTCTTTATCAAAGGGTTTGTCTTTACAATGTAAGGGGGTAGGGGTGTATATGTCTTTATCAAGGGGTTTGTCTTTACGATGTAAGGGGACAGGGGTGTATATGTCTTAACAAGGTGTTTCTCTTTACGGTGTAAGGGGCAGGGGTTTATATGTCTTGATCAAGGTGTTTGTCTCTACGATGTTAGGGGGTAGGGGTGTATATGTCTTTATCAAGGTGTTTGTCTTTACGGTGTAAGGGGGCAGGGGTGTATATGTCTTTATCAAAGGGTTTGTCTGTACGATGTAAGGGGGCAGGGGTGTATATGTCTTTATCAAGGGGTTTGTCTTTACGATGTAAGGGGGCAGTGGTGTATATGTCTTTACAAGGTGTTTGTCTTTACAATGTAAGGGGGCAGGGGTGTATATGTCTTTATCAAGGTGTTTGTCTTTGCGATGTAAGGGGGTAGGGGTGTATATGTCCTTATCAAGGGGTTTGTCTTTACGATGTAAGGGGGCAGTGGTGTATATGTCTTTACAAGGTGTTTGTCTTTACAATGTAAGGGGGCAGGGGTGTATATGTCTTTANTCTAACAAACAACAGGATGGTTACAGAGGATTCCACGCCAATGATCATAAATACGGAGCTAGTGATAGCCATCACAGGTTAGTCTTGTCGTGTGAAATAAACCCCGCATAAACAATAAACGATGGTTAAGGACACCTGAGACGAAATCCCTATGGACTTATTGTGATATCTTTTGACCCTCATCCATATCAATTATACGTCCTTTAATAATTCATATTTTTAAACTGAACTGATTTCAATAAAAAGCAGCTTTCGTGACAAAAAGTGAAACAAACATTTGAATCATAAGATTCTTGTGCAGCAAGGGCGCGAGGGGTCGTTTTGAAAAAGGGATAAATTGTTTTAACTTTTAACAATCTACACACCATGTCATACGCAAATATTCTTCACGGATGGAAAGGTCCAAAGCAACTTGATTGTAATTTGTGAATTTCTTACCCACAGATCGCTCATTTCCTCCCTCTTTTGCAATATTACATTTAATGAAATATTTAGACATGATTGCCTAGATGTCCAGGTTAGCGATACAGACCCACTGGGCCTCTTGTTTAGATTTTCACTGATACTGTAAAACTGGCCCAGTCCTTGCTGGTTTTCATGGACAAATGATGAACGAAGCCAAAACAAGTTGCTTACTTATAAAATGTACTTACTTCTGTTAAATAGATGAAATTCTTGTATGAAAAATGTTTCTGCACTTACCATTTTAATATTGTGTGATTATCTACTTAGATTCAACAGTGATAACCGACGTGAATATACGTCTGGGAGCCAAAAACAATTTCATCGAGACAACTCATCAACATTTCACCACCACGACCGGCCGGATCACCACAGCAGTGGGAAATACAGACCAGACAGACCAGACAGACCAGACTACCGCATATCAAGAAACGACAGGAATGACCGTGGTGGTAGTGGTGGTGGTGGTGGCGGAGACTACCAACGGGCCGACTATGGCCAGTTTGGTCACCGTGACTACGGAGGTGGTGGTGGTGGAGGAGGAGGCAGCACTAGCTCGTCAAGAGGCTTCGCTCGACCGAGTGGTGACAAGTATGTACATCCAACCAAGTAGGGGGTTTACTGCTCTCTAATCAAATATTTCACTGATTGGAAATATTTCCATAAATTACTACTTGTTCTGAATAATTGAAGAGGACAATTTTTAAATAAGGAGGAATTTGTCCTTATTATGAGAGTGAAGTGTAGTATGAGAGATGATGGCTCATGGAATAAGATCATTACTACCGTGGACCTGTAAAGAATATGTTTGAGAAGAGTGCTTAGATTTGATAGATTTGTTGTTGCTCTTGTGAAGGGTAATAAATGATTGAGTAGCAATGATATATTTGTATGTACTGTTTCTATTGTTCCTTAACCAACTTCATGTCATTTGACGAATGTTTTTTCTCTTTCAGTTATGTTTCCCATTCCGATCGGAAAAGGAAAAGTGACAATTTTGAAAATAGACGATCGTATAGTAGTAGTTTAAAAGACCCTAGACTTAGTGAAGATCACAGTAATGAGGGATCTTCATATTCCAATGTAGGCAGTGATCCGCAAGGAAAACACTGACGAAAGGGGAGCAGCTGATTCATTCTTGTCTCATTGTGTTCATTGTCAACCTGAGCAGCCATGCTTATCAAATCTGGGATCCTTCAGTGTCCAACAGTTACGCTCACAGATATCGGAGTCGACAACAGGACAGTCTGGCCGGTATTATGTGTGTGTATTGTGTGGACAATTGTATCATCCCTGCATCACCATTGTAGAAACTTTTCAGACTTGTCACAAAGTCATCACAGCAGAACCTTTCAGATCATCATCATTGTCATCCCCTGATGTGAAGCACATGTCTGATAGAGAATGAATCTCGTGTGATGTTTGGTGTGGTGAGAGTCTGTGCTGACCTTGAGTGGGTAGCATGTTGGGTGAGTGTGTCGGGATGTAAAGATAGGCGGTGCTACAGTCTCACCTGATGATATAAACACAGATTTAAACGTGGATCTTAAAAATTTTCATCAACATACATACATACATATATCAACTTTTTGAACTGACAAAATAAGCTACAAGGTAAATGTGTTCATTTCTTGTATATATTTTATAAAGGTACAAGTTTTGTATCTTCTCTGTTTTCTGATTGACTTTAGAGAGAAAAAATAAGGTCACTTGTTAATGATATCACAAGTTGCTTAATTTCTCTGATCAGTCTGCAATTTGATTGAAATGAGCAAACAATACCTACTCCAACAAGCCTCTTACTGCCAAAGACCGAGAAACCAAGGGGAGTTAATAGAAGCTAATGGTGTGTAGGTGACTGTGAAAGAACCACCTGTACAGTGATAAGATTGTAGGCCATTTGATGAAAATAACTGCCAAGCCGGATGATATTTTGCAGATTGTAAACATTAAGGATATATGCTACAGTGTACGACATACTTATAACTGTATCTGTTGCCTCTCCCTTGATTGTTCTCTGAAAATTAAATATCTCGTAATAAACAATTATGTGATTGTTACCAACTCTTACTTTGTGTACCTTTTACAGGTGTCGTCAATCAACATCTCATATATATTAAAACTTAGAAAAGACAGTTTGCTCGTGTCTTTTGGAAAGAAATGTTATCTCACAAGAATGAAGCATATGTCCTTAAGTCAATCAAACTGGTTGTTGTACTTGGTTATCTGTAGCAATAAATGAAATGAAAGAACAAAGAAATAGATCAGATGTTGCGTATTAATTTTATTTTTGAGAATTTTGTATATGAAATGTTTGTATTTTAAGTTTAGTGCTACTGTACATGCAGGAGGTAATGGCTTAGTCGTTGGAAGTGAACAACAACATGTGTAGTAGTGGACAGAGAATTGTTATTTGTTGACGTTTTTCCCTCTTGATATTGTATATCAAATAATTTATTTTAAGCAAGTTTAACTATAGGTTTAAACTGAGTGTTTGATACAACACCTGGTATATAAGTATTTGAAGAAGTTTTAATATGTATACTACAAGTGCATAGACACTGTTGTGCTATAGGAGACGTGTGGGTGTATGTTGTGATACAGAATTAATACACCACACTGAGGCGGCCGTGGCAACGTCTTGTTCTACATCACAATTTATATATTTTCATGTTGATGCGTGAAAATCTTCACTTTTTCAATTCCTGTCAAACTTAATCAAATATACAACATGCTATATTGTACATGATTATATTTTTTAATCAGTACTTGCAGTTTAATTTCGTATAGCCAAGTAAGGGGTTATTCAATTTAATTTGACAATGTTCATGTGTGAAATTGTCGTAAACAGGATATCAGGAGGGAAATAGAACAGTGTTTGCTAAATATCCCGAGTGTCCACACACAACAAAAGATAGATGGGTATAAGTGTCCACACACAACAAAAGATAGATGGGTACAAGTGTCCACACACAACAAAAGATAGATGGGTATAAGTGTCCACACACAACAAAAGATAGATGGGTATAAGTGTCCACACACAACAAAAGATAGATGGGTATAAGTGTCCACACACAACAAAAGATAGATGGGTATAAGTGTCCACACACAACAAAAGATAGATGGGTATAAGTGTCCACACACAACAAAAGATAGATGGGTATAAGTGTCCACACACAACAAAAGATAGATGGGTATAAGTGTCCACACACAACAAAAGATAGATGGGTATAAGTGTCCACACACAACAAAAGATAGATGGGTACAAGTGTCCACACACAACAAAAGATAGATGGGTACAAGTGTCTACACACAACAAAAGATAGATGGGTACAAGTGTCCACACACAACAAAAGATAGATGGGTACAAGTGTCCACACACAACAAAAGATAGATGGGTACAAGTGTCCACACACAACAAAAGACAGATGGGTATAAGTGTCCACACACAACAAAAGATAGATGGGTACAAGTGTCCACACACAACAAAAGATAGATGGGTATAAGTGTCCACACACAACAAAAGACAGATGGGTACAAGTGTCCACACACAACAAAAGATAGATGGGTATAAGGAATAAGGCCGTCTGAATGTTGACACAAATTTGTCTGGGCTACTCAAAAGCGCTGCTGTCATTTTTTTTGAGCTTTGTACTCTTCATTAATAGTATAACAGTTACTTGTATGAAATGTTTTTGTTCCGAGTTATGCCCCTTTACTTTAACAAAGATTTGTCCTTATGAAGTACCTCCTAGATTTCACTGACTCTTTGTATACTTATATGCAAGGTATTGTTAATTATGAAGTTTATACTGTCAATGTTATAAGTATATTACAACCAAAAGTTCTTCCTTAGAAGGGCCAGTGGTAGGAGTTAGAATGTCTGATGGTGTTTGACTGGATGAATTCTATTACAAATTAAGTTTGAATTCAAAGACTTTTTGAGGTAGTAATAAGTAGCAAATATTTGCATTTAAAAATAAAACTATTTCAATATTTTATGTTAAAAAAAGATACCCCAAAATTGCTATTAATGTCTTAATATAATAAAACCTTGTAAAGTTCAAGGCAATGAGATAAGGCTGTAGACAAACGTTTGTTGAAGGACTATTATAAAGACATCTGTTATTAAGAGGTCAGTTGAGGACTGATGTGACTGAGGCTTCACAACCCAATTTACAGGAGTAAAGTGAAGCAGATATACAAGACTTCAGACTTTGGCTTGCTGCCATTGACAGGTCAATCTTTAATGTAGCTATGATTTTACAATTAGAAAAACAAAACAATAACAAAGCCATGGATACCATTTAATAGACACAGATTTGTGGAACAATAGTTGGCAGGACCACTGACTTTTTTTATTGAATTAAAGATTTTAAATTTCAAAATTAACTGCTGCCTGTTAAAAGATTTTTGTTGAGATTGCTGCAAGTTGTTGTTTTAATATGTCTTAATTAGGTTCTGTTTGTGACGATTACAGACACGTTGCCTAGCTCTCGGGTCACCAGGGCCAAGTTGTTCCAAGCTTCAGGACATTTTTTTTTGTCTTTTTGCGAGTAAATTTTGGCTCATCTGCCATGAAGTGCCTGTGAGCTTCTTATAGTGCACACTCCGTCGTGAGACAGCTGAAGATAGGGGCATATTCTCAAGACTTTATAACAACTTTTAATGAAAATATCTTGTTTTGATTGCTTAGATATCCAGATGAGTGACACTGGACCCCGAGGATTCTGTTTTTATCCAGGTTTGCATGAAAAGATCATTTTCAGCCATAAGCTTATTAAAATATATAACACTAATATCCTGTGTTAATTTAAAGAATTTAAAATGCATGTCTTGATTTACATGAATAGGGATGAAAAGAGAAAAGTAGGAAAGAAAATTAAACCGGAAACAAAAAAATACAAGCAAAACTTTCTTCTTTCTTATTTTGACCTTATGGCTTACTTTTAATGGTGTTGCATCTTGTTAAAATCGGGAGACTTGAGGAAAGTAGATTCCATGAAGCGAGTTGCTGTGAATACAGTTTCACAGGAAAAGATTGTGACATTGTCAAATTGTCAATATTAACTTAAGATGAGTGATAAGGTAAAAACTGTTTTTATGAAGATTTGTGATATAATATGTTAACATTTGATTTATAAAGGTTGATGTTGCCCTCTTAGTTCTATTGTGCAAGCTGTACAAGGCCTTTACTAGTATTACAGGATTGTTGTTCTGTGTTCACTTATTTCTGTGACTGAGCTACTGGTCTGATACCCAGAACACAAAGTGACTGAGCTACTGGTCTGATACCCAGAACACAAAGGAAATGGTAGCATATTTGGCTCCACTGGCAAATACTGAACCGAGCTGGTAACAGCACTGATCCTTTTAAAGTTGCATTGGAAATTGTTATTTTCTCTGTTCTATTTTCCGTCCAGATCTTAAATCTACCACATACAGTATCACTTTGCTAAATCTTTTTTTTTTATCAAAGCCATTGACTATTCGGATGACATCTCCATAATAAATAAATCATCAGGTTATTTGGTATGGCTGTTGAAAACATTGAATGAAAACTGGAAATTTTTTACCTATTGAACTTTCTGTAGCTCGTTGGAGAAGTAAGAATTTGGTATGTTAGATGTGTAAGTGCTGGTATGATTGACACAGATGTGAGAATGTAAGAAAGTCTATTTACATTTAGTAGACATCTGTACGTTGATCATGTAAGCTTATTGTACATAGCAAACTCAAAAGATAAAAACAGAAAATTTACTACAAAAAAATCAATAAAATAATGAATTGATAACTTATAGCATTGTTCAGTTATTTATTAGCTCACCTGGCACGAAGTGCCAAGTGAGCTTATGCCGTGGCGCGGCGTCCGTCGTCCATCTGTCCGTCTGTCCGTCCGTCTGTCCGTCCTCGTCCGTCAACTTTTCCTTTAAACAACTTCTTCTGAAGAACGGACAGGCCTAGAGTCATGATATTTGGCTGAAAGCTTCGTTGGTAGGAGCCCTACAAAGTTTGAGAACGAAAATGACCTTGACCTGTTTTCAAGGTCACAGGGGTCAAATATGTCAAAAACTTCAAACGACTTCTTCTAAAGAACTAAAAGGTATAGAATCTTCATATTTGGCTGATGGCTTCCTTGGATGGAGCCCAACAAAGTTTGAGAATGAAAATTACCTTGACCTTCTTTCAAGGTCACAGGGGTCAAATGTGTCAAACACTTCAAACGACTTCTTCTGAAGAACTGAAAGGTATATAATCTTTATATTTGGCTGGTGGCTTCCTGGGATAGAGCCCAACAAAGTTTGAGAATGAAAACTAGTTTGACCTACTTTCAAGGTCACAGGGGTCATATATGTCAAAAGCTTCAAATGACTTCTTCTGAAGAACTGAAAGGTATAGAATCTTTATTTTTGATTGATGGCTTCCTTGGATAGAGCCCGACAAAGTTTGAGAATGAAAATGACCTTGACCTTCTTTCAAGGTCACAGGAGTCAAATGTGTCAGACACTTCAAACGACTTCTTCTGAAGAACTGAAAGGTATATAATCTCTATATTTGGCTTGTAGCTTCCTAGGAAAGAGCCGAACAAAGTTTGAGAATGAAAATGACCTTGACCTTCTTTTAAGGTCACATGAGGCAGATATGTCAAACACTTTAAACGACTTCTTCTGAAGAACTGGTAGTTATAAAATCTTAATATTTGGCAGGTGGCTTCCTGGGAAAGAGCCAAACAAAGTTTGCGAATGAAAATGACCTTGACCTACTTTCAAGGTCACAGCGTTCAAATATGTCAAACAGTTCAAACAGCTTCTTCTGAAGAATTAAAAGGCATAAAATTATAATATTTGGCTGGTGACTTCCCGGGATAGAGCTCACCAAAGTTTGCAAATGAAAATGACCTCAACCTACTTTAGAGGTCACAGAGGTCAACAACATTTTAATGGATTTGTTCTTGAGAACTAAAAGGAATGGATTCATAAGATTTGGCTGGTAGCTTTTTGGAATAGAGCTAACCAATTTGAGAAGGAAAATGACATTGACCTACTTACAAGATCATAGGGAAAAATATGTCAAGCAACTTCTGAAGAAGAATCAAAAAGCATAGAATCTTATAATAATATTTTGCTGGTAGTTTCAACAGATGGAGCCAACAAAGTTTGCGAGGGAAATATTTTTAGTGCAATATAATATTTAATGAGAATATTTTGCTATGACTGCTTAAATATTCAGGTGAGCGATACAGGCCCTCTTGGGCCTCTTGTTAGTTACTTATGTCTTGGTGCGTCATCCGTCAACTTTTCCTTTTAACGACTTCTTCTGAAGAATGGACAGGCCTCGAGTCATGATATTTTGGTGATAGCTTCGTTGGTTGGAGCCTGACAAAGTTTGAGAATGAAAATGACCTTGACCTACTTTCAAGGTCACGGGGTCAAATATGTCAAAAACTTCGAACGACTTCTTCTGAAGAACTAAATGGTATAGAATCTTCATATTTGGCTGGTGGCTTCATGGGATGGAGCCGGACAAAGTTTGAGAATGAAAATGACCTTGACTTACTTTCAAGGTCACAGCTGTCAATTATGTCAAACACTTTCAACGACTTCGTCTGAAGAACGAAAAGGTATAGAACCTTCATATTTGGCTGTTGGCTTCATGAGATAGAGCCGGACAAAGTTTGAGAATGAAAATTACCTTGACCTACTTTCAAGGTCACAGGGGTCAAACTCTTCAAACGACTTCTTCTGAAGAACGGAAAGGGATAGAATCTTCATATTTGGCTGATTGCTTCCTGGGATGGATCCTAACAAAGTTTAAAAATGAAAATGACCTTGACGTACTTTCAAGGTCACAGAGGTCAAATATGTCAAACGCTTCAAACGACTTCTGATGATGAACTAAAAGGTATAGAATCTTCATATTTGGCTGGAGGCTTCCTGGGATGGAGCCCAACAAAGTTTGAAAATGAAAATAACCTTGACGTACTTTCAAGGTCACATCGGTCAAATATGTAAAACACTTCAAACAACTTCTTCTGAAGAATTAAAAGGTATAGAATCTTCATATTTCGCTGGTGGCTTCCTTGGATGGAGCCCGATAAAGTTTGAGAATGAAATTGACCTTGACTTACTTTCAAGGTCCAGCGGTCAAATATGTAAAAACTCTTTAAACAACTTCTTCTGAAGAACTAAAAGGTATAGAATCTTTATATTTGGCGGTTGGCTTTCTGAGATAGAGCCAGATAAAGTTTGGGAATGAAAATGACCTTGACATACTTTCAAGGTCACAGCGGTCAAATATGTCGAACAATTCAAACAACTTCTTCTGAAAAACTGAAAGGTATAAAATCTTCATATTTGGCTGATGGCTTCCTGGGATGGAGCCCAACATATTTTGAAAATGACCTTGACATATTTTCAAGGTCACAGTGGTCAAATATGTCAAAACGCTTCAAACAACTTCTTCTGAAGAATTAAAAGGTATAGAATCTTCATATTTCGCTGTTGGCTTCCTTGGATGGAGCCCGATTAATTTTGAGAATGAAATTGACCTTGACTTACTCTCAAGGTCACAGCGGTCAAATATGTAAAAACTCTTTAAACGACTTCTTCTGAAGAATTAAAAGGTATAGAATCTTTACATTTGGCTGTTGGCTTCCTGAGATAGATCCTGACAAAGTTTGAGAATGAAAATTACCTTGAACTTCTTTCAAGGTCACAGCGGTCAAATATGTAAAAACTCTTTAAAAGACTTCTTCTGAAGAACTAAAGGTATAGAATCTTTATATTTGGCTGTTGGCTTCCTGAGATAGATCCCGACAAAGTTTGAGAATGAAAATGACCTTGACTTTTCAAGGTCACAGGTGTCAAATATGTCAAAAACATCAAATGCCTTCTTCTGAATAATCGAAAGCATAAAATTCTAATATTTGGCTGGTGGTTTCCTAGGATAGAGCTCACCAAAGTTTGGCAATGAAAATGACCTAAACCTACCTTAAAGGAAAGAGATCAACAGCATTTTAAAGGATTTGTTCTTAAGAACCAAATTGAATGGATTTAAAAGATTTGGCTGGTAGCTTTTTGGGATAGAGCTAACAAAGTATGAGAAGGAAAATGACATTGACCTACTTACAAGGTCACAGGGAAAAATATGTCTATCAACTTCTGAAAAAGAACCAAAAAGCATAGAATCTTATAATAATATTTGGCTGGTTGTTTCAACAGATGGAGCCGACAAGGTTTGCGAGGGAAATATTTGTAGTGCAATATAATATTGAATGATAATATTTTGCTGTGACTGCTTAAATATTCAGGTGAGCGATACAGGCCCTCTGGGCCTCTTGTATAAGTAGAGTCAAGCTGAAGTGATCTAGCCATCACTGTTGTGGAGTTGTTGTTCCAGTCCTGAAGATGAGTCTTTCTCTGTTGTGGAGTTGTAGTTTCAGTCCTGAAGTGGAGTCTTTCTCTAGTGTGGAGTTGTTGTTCCAGTCCTGAAGATGAGCCTTTCTCTGTTGTGGATTTGTTGTTCCAATCCTGAAAATGAGTCTTTCTCTGTTGTGGAGTTGTTGTTTCAGTCCTGAAGTGGAGTCTTTCTCTGTGTGGAGTTGTTGTTCCAGTCCTGGAGTGGAGTCTTCCTCTGTTGTGGAGTTTTTGTTCCAGTCCTGATGATGAGTCTTTCTCTCTTGTGGAGTTGTTGTTTCAGTCCTGAAGTGGAGCCTTTCGCTGTTGTGGAGTTGTTGTTCCAATACTGAAAATGAGTCTTTCTCTGTTGTGGAGTTGTTGTTCCAGTCCAGAAAATGAGTCTTTCTCTATTGTTGAGTTGTTGTTCCAATCCTGAAAATGTGTCTTTCTCTGTTGTGGAGTTGTTGTTTCAGTCCTGAAGTGGAGCCTTTCGCTGTTGTGGAGTTGTTGTTCCAATACTGAAAATGAGTCTTTCTCTGTTGTGGAGTTGTTGTTTCAGTCCTGAAGATGAGTCTTTCTCTGTTGTGGAGTTGTTATTCCAGTCCTGAAGTGGAGTCTTCCTCTGTTGTGGATTTTTTGTTTCAGTCCTGAAAATGAGTCTTTCTCTGTTGTGGAGTTGTTGTTCCAATCCTGAAGATGAGTCTTTCTCTGTTGTGGAGTTGTAGTTTCAGTCCTGAAGTGGAGTCTTTCTCTATTGTGGAGTCGTTGTTCCAATCCTGAAAATGAGTCTTTCTCTGTTGTGGAGTTGTTGTTCCAGTCCTGAAAATGAGTCTTTCTCTATTGTTGAGTTGTTGTTACAATCCTGAAAATGTTTCTTTCCCTGTTGTGGAGTTGTTGTTCCAGTCCTGAAGTGGAGTCTTTCTCTGTTGTGGAGTTGTTGTTCCAGTCCTGGAGTGGAGTCTTCCTCTGTTGTGGATTTTTTGTTTCAGTCCTGAAGATAAGTCTTTCTCTGTTGTGGAGTTGTTGTTTCAGTCCTGAAGATGAGTCTTTCTCTGTTGTGGAGTTGTTGTTCCAGTCCTGGAGTGGAGTCTTCCTCTGTTGTGGATTTTTTGTTCCAGTCCTGAAGTGGAGTCTTTCTCTGTTGTGGAGTTTTTGTTCCAGTCCTGATGATGAGTCTTTCTCTGTTGTGGAGTTGTTGTTCCAATCCTGAAAATGAATCTTTCTCTGTTGTGGAGTTGTTGTTCCAGTCCTGAAGATGAGCCTTTCTCTGTTGTGGATTTGTTGTTCCAATCCTGAAAATGAGTCTTTCTCTATTGTGGAGTTGTTGTTTCAATCCTGAAAATGTGTCTTTCTCTGTTGTGGAGTTGTTGTTGCAGTCCTGAAGTGGAGTCTTTCTCTGTTGTGGAGTTGTTGTTCCAGTCCTGGAGTGGAGTCTTCCTCTGTTGTGGAGTTGTTGTTCCAATCCTGAAAATGAGTCTTTCTCTGTTGTGGAGTTGTTGTTCCAGTCCTGAAGATGAGTCTTTCTCTGTTGTGGAGTCGTTGTTCCAGTCCTGAAGATGAGTCTTTCTCTGTTGTGGAGTTGTTGTTCCAGTCGTGAAGATGAGTCTCTCTCTGTTGTGGAGTTGTTTTTCCAATCCTGAAAATGAGTCTTTCTCTGTTGTGGAGTTGTTGTTCCAGTCCTGAAGATGAGTCTTTCTCTGTTGTGGAGTCGTTGTTCCAGTCCTGAAGATGAGTCTTTCTCTGTTGTGGAGTTGTTGTTCCAGTCGTGAAGATGAGTCTCTCTCTGTTGTGGAGTTGTTTTTCCAATCCTGAAAATGAGTCTTTCTCTGTTGTGGAGTTGTTGTTCCAGTCCTGAAGATGAGTCTTTCTCTGTTGTGGAGTCGTTGTTCCAGTCCTGAAGATGAGTCTTTCTCTGTTGTGGAGTTGTTGTTCCAGTCGTGAAGATGAGTCTCTCTCTGTTGTGGAGTTGTTTTTCCAATCCTGAAAATGAGTCTTTCTCTGTTGTGGAGTTGTTGTTCCAGTCCTGAAGATGAGTCTTTCTCTGTTGTGGAGTCGTTGTTCCAGTCCTGAAGATGAGTCTTTCTCTGTTGTGGAGTTGTTGTTCCAGTCGTGAAGATGAGGCTTTCTCTGTTGTGGAGTTGTTGCAGTCCTGAAGATGAGTCTCGTGAATGCTTGGTGGAATAGCTGGGTATACAACAATGGTGGAACAAGGATTTCTAAAAGACGGGGACTGAAACAAGGACTTGGATTGTGCCCCTCCTTCAGTCGAAATCCCCATCTCCTGTTTATTATTGGATGCTGAATGAAAACAACAACAAAAGAATACTGTAAAATCAATAAAAATAGGGCAAAATATGAACAAATACTTAAAATAGTAGAGGGAGAATCATCAATGACACCACTTGACCAGCCATATACATCTACATTTAATCCAAGTTACGTCACATCCTCACATCGAGAACTCGGGTAGTGACAACAAAACCTTAAGGCACTCGTATTAGAGCAATATCAAAATGTCGAGGTTCATTTCACAAAGAAATAGCGTATTTCTCGACCAGATTCTGATGTCGCCGTAAACTTGTCCATAGTCTTCATCAACCTGCATCTTTAAAAACTTTGTGATGTGTTTGTCCGCCAGCATTCGACATCTATCACAGAGGTCATATATACAATTGTCCGCCAGCAGTCGACATCTATCTCAGAGGTCATACGTTTGTCCGCCAGCAGTCGACATCTATCACAGAGGTCATACGTTTGTCCGCCAGCAGTCGACATCTATCACAGAGGTCATATATACGTTTGTCCGCCAGCAGTCGACATCTATCACAGAGGTCATATATACGTTTGTCCGCCAGCAGTCGACATCTATCACAGAGGTCATATATACGTTTGTCCGCCAGCAGTCGACATCTATCACAGAGGTCATATATACGTTTGTCCGCCAGCAGTCGACATCTATCACAGAGGTCATATATACGTTTGTCCGCCAGCAGTCGACATCTATCACAGAGGTCATATATACGTTTGTCCGCCAGCAGTCGACATCTATCACAGAGGTCATATATACGTTTGTCCGCCAGCAGTCGACATCTATCACAGAGGTCATATATACGTTTGTCCGCCAGCAGTCGACATCTATCACAGAGGTCATATATACGTTTGTCCGCCAGCAGTCGACATCTATCACAGAGGTCATATATACGTTTGTCCGCCAGCAGTCGACATCTATCACAGAGGTCATATATACGTTTGTCCGCCAGCAGTCGACATCTATCACAGAGGTCATATATACGTTTGTCCGCCAGCAGTCGACATCTATCACAGAGGTCATATATACGTTTGTCCGCCAGCAGTCGACATCTATCACAGAGGTCATATATACGTTTGTCCGCCAGCAGTCGACATCTATCACAGAGGTCATATATACGTTTGTCCGCCAGCAGTCGACATCTATCACAGAGGTCATATATACGTTTGTCCGCCAGCAGTCGACATCTATCACAGAGGTCATATATACGTTTGTCCGCCAGCAGTCGACATCTATCACAGAGGTCATATATACGTTTGTCCGCCAGCAGTCGACATCTATCACAGAGGTCATATATACGTTTGTCCGCCAGCAGTCGACATCTATCACAGAGGTCATATATACGTTTGTCCGCCAGCAGTCGACATCTATCACAGAGGTCATATATACGTTTGTCCGCCAGCAGTCGACATCTATCACAGAGGTCATATATACGTTTGTCCGCCAGCAGTCGACATCTATCACAGAGGTCATATATACGTTTGTCCGCCAGCAGTCGACATCTATCACAGAGGTCATATATACGTTTGTCCGCCAGCAGTCGACATCTATCACAGAGGTCATATATACGTTTGTCCGCCAGCAGTCGACATCTATCACAGAGGTCATATATACGTTTGTCCGCCAGCAGTCGACATCTATCACAGAGGTCATATATACGTTTGTCCGCCAGCAGTCGACATCTATCACAGAGGTCATATATACGTTTGTCCGCCAGCAGTCGACATCTATCACAGAGGTCATATATACGTTTGTCCGCCAGCAGTCGACATCTATCACAGAGGTCATATATACGTTTGTCCGCCAGCAGTCGACATCTATCACAGAGGTCATATATACGTTTGTCCGCCAGCAGTCGACATCTATCACAGAGGTCATATATACGTTTGTCCGCCAGCAGTCGACATCTATCACAGAGGTCATATATACGTTTGTCCGCCAGCAGTCGACATCTATCACAGAGGTCATATATACGTTTGTCCGCCAGCAGTCGACATCTATCACAGAGGTCATATATACGTTTGTCCGCCAGCAGTCGACATCTATCACAGAGGTCATATATACGTTTGTCCGCCAGCAGTCGACATCTATCACAGAGGTCATATATACGTTTGTCCGCCAGCAGTCGACATCTATCACAGAGGTCATATATACGTTTGTCCGCCAGCAGTCGACATCTATCACAGAGGTCATATATACGTTTGTCCGCCAGCAGTCGACATCTATCACAGAGGTCATATATACGTTTGTCCGCCAGCAGTCGACATCTATCACAGAGGTCATATATACGTTTGTCCGCCAGCAGTCGACATCTATCACAGAGGTCATATATACGTTTGTCCGCCAGCAGTCGACATCTATCACAGAGGTCATACGTTTGTCCGCCAGCAGTCGACATCCATCACAGAGGTCGTGCTATTTGGGGGAAGCTCTTGGAGTACCAAATTAACAGCGACATGTAAGCCATAGGTAGGGGAACTGGGATGTTGCTACTAAAAAAGGGAAAAATCACATTCAGTAAGTCAAAATCGAATGAAGTACTATCACATAGTCCATGTAAGGCTGTGATTTATATGCACCTCAAAAGTTTTGTCAAGACGTACCATGATATGAGTAGCGTCCCTCTATCCGCCCACACTTTGGTTTCCACAAAGTAGCATGCTTAAATATAGTTTAATTTCGATTAAACTTGGTATGCATGTACGTTAACGAATACTGAGGCTAAGTTTTAAGTTGAGCAAATTCTATGCATAATTAATAAGCATAGTGTGCTCTGATTGGTTGACTGTTTCTGCACAATAACTTTGTGAATTTCGATGAAGCTTGGTCACTATTTATAATATACAATGCCAAAGGCTTGGCACAAAGGTGTGCAAAATCTGTGAATATTTTATTACCATCCTGCAATCTGATTGTTGACCATTTCTGCACAGTAAACTAGTCAAATATGACAGGATTCTGATGAGACTTGGTCAATATTTACACTTTGTCTAAAAGTCTGCCAGGAAATAATAAAAAATAAAAATATAATCGGGTTCAACATTTTAAGATGATTCAATTATTGGCAAAAAGGTGCAATTTCTTTTTTCTTTTTTTCATGGTTTCTTAATAACCTGAGGCCCAGGGTCCTGCTATTTGGCCAGTAGGTACCTGGGATGGAGTGCTATGATATTGACCTAAAAATAACTTTGACCTACTTTCAGGGTTACAGGGGTGAAATATATAAAAAAAAAAACTTTAAGGACTTGTGAATAACTAGGAGGCTCAGGGTAATGACATGTGGCCAGTAGGTACCTGGCTTTGAGTGCTTTAATATTTCCTCAAATAAATTACCTTCACCTATTTTAAACGTCACAAGGATCAAATGTGTTAAAAACCTTAAGACACCTTCTGAATAACCAAGAGGCATTATAATTGAAATAATTATGATAAGACGGCCAATCACAGCATGTAATGGGGTCCTATAAAGTTTAATAATAACGAAAAGCGCCATCAAAAAAATGACTTTGACTTGCGTGTTGTCACTTCCACTGCTGTTGCTACTTACCATGCATTAAGCTAGCCTCTGTTTTAGTATATCACACATGATGCCACCCTGGATGTACGGAGTGCCGGGGCACCGTTTGGAATGTAATAGTATCCATGTTTCTATCGCCATATGCAGACACCAATGAATAGTCATTTAAATAGGTTCCACAAACAGTAAGTATCTAGGCTGTTTTATACATTTAAGGCTCGGTGACCTACTGCGATCACTACGTTCGCGTCGTGGGTGGTGTGTAAACTTGTTACATTTTTTATTTATTGCTCAGAATGAATTGCATTAAAACATAATAAGAATCGTCATCGGAGTAAGAGGGTATCAAACTGTAAAATTGGGGTTCCTGCCTAACCACAGGGGCCAGGGCGGGCCCCAAGGGGAACAGTGACAAGTGTTTCTAAAATATTCTTCTCCAGATCTTCGTGGATGGAAAGATGCTTGGGTGCTTTAACTAAATTTAAAATTTCATTATGCCCAAAGTCATCCGTTCTTCCTTGGGGAGGAGGTAAAGTTTATTTAGTTTTTATAAGGAATCAACACTCTTGTGTATATTTTTCCCATTTTCTGATGGAAATAATTTAAAATTGGTTGAAATAATTCTGATAAGACGGCGATAAGAAAGTACATGTATGAGGACTTAAGATTTCGCTTCTCTCCTGGATCTAGAGGGACGGGCACCAAGGGAAAAGTTGACAAATACCATCATTCATGTAATTCAATACCATCATGCATGTAATTGAATACCATCATACATGTAATTCAATACCATCCTATATGTAATTCAATACCATCATACATGTAATTCAAACTATCATACATGTAATTCAATACCATCAAACATGAAATTCAATACCATCATATATGTAATTCAATACCATCATACAATACCATCATACATGTAATTCAAACTATCGTACATGTGATTCAATACCATCCTAAATTTAATTCAATACCATCATACATGTAATTCAATATCATCATACATGTAATTCAATACCATCATATATGTTATTCCATACCATCCTACATGTAACTCAATATCATCATACATGTAATTCCATACCATCCTACATGTAATTCAATATCATCATACATGTAATTCAATACCATCATACATGTAATTCAAACCATCGTACATGTGATTCAATACCATCCTACATTTAATTCAATACCATCATACATGTAATTCAATATCATCATACATGTAATTCAATACCACCATATATGTTATTCCATACCATCCTACATGTAACTCAATATCATCATACATGTAATTCCATACCATCCTACATGTAATTCCATACCATCATACATGTAATTCCATACCATCCTACATGTAATTGAATACCATCATACATGTAATTCCATACCATCCTACATGTAATTGAATACCATCATACATGTAATTCCATACCATCCTACATGTAATTGAATACCATCATACATGTAATTCCATACCATCCTACATGTAATTCAATATCATCATACATGTAATTCAATACCATCATATATGTAATTCAATACCATCATACAATACCATCATACATTTAATTCTTTTGAATAGTTTTTAGTGTTACCTTTGCTTACATGAAGGAAAATGTTTTTTTTGAAACATCTCCACATATCTACTCAGGTGATCGTTAGCCCCTCGGGCTTCTTGTTTCATACGCTTTTTTTAAATTTTAAAATTGATCAGAAGTTGTAAGATTTAATGAAAGCCTCCCACACTTTACCAAAAGGGAGACCTTGACGTGATATAAACCTCAGAAAAGTAGTTAATATCTCAGCAGTACGTACACGTGTCTGACCTCTCTGTTTAACGGTGACCCCATCCTCGAGGATGCGCTGACCCCAGCTCCCCTTGTTACCTACACCTGGGTGATCGCTGGAAATGTCTTACTTCTAGTAAACCCGTTTATTGTTCATAATGTAAAATATATTGTTTGACTATACATGGATATGAGAGTGGGTCATGACGATGATATCGTTCACCGTAATACACCAATGAGTCACTGTACACGTGTGGAGGTATGCTATATTGGTTAGTTTATAAGTTAATCATATAATGAGAAGAATGTCATTAACTGATCTAGACTGTATATTATCATGTTTTGTATTGTATAGAAGTACAATGGCACTAGAGCTGTGTTTTGTTACAACGCCTACCTATTGGTTTAATTATACGTTTCTAACGACGCTCGTTAACACAATACGTTCATCGAGCAAGGTCACTGACACACTTATTGTGTCGGTTTTTCCGAGATACATCGATGCATGACGATGCAGGTAACAACGCGTTTTTATTAAGGTCACTCGGAAAGCCTCCGGAGATATTGTTCGTTTCCATAGTTTGTTTACATGTTGACCAGGAATCACATGGACGTAAACGGGATGCAATCTACCGTCATCTGAGTAGGAGAATCAGCAACGTTACAAAGATGTCGTCATCGGAAGAATCGGAACCGTCTGTTTGGGCGGATGATTCTGATGATGACGAGAAAGGGGAGAATGGCCAGGGTACGTATAGACAGATACTTAACAGTGGTAGGATTTTGTAACATTGTTAATTTGTTTAACAGTATTTTGCCACCCAATCCCTCGTGCCTTTTTAGAGTGTCAGAAAACTTCAAATAGTTTAATGCTCCAGGACCCCTAAAATTGTTTTTTTTCTAAAAGAAGTGTGTGTGCAAGAAAAGGTACGTGTGTACGTGTAAAGGTACATGTTTGCGTGTAAAGGTATGCGTGTACGTGTAAAGGGTCGTGTGTACGTGCAAAAGTACGCGTGTACGTGTAAAGGTACGTGTGTACGTGTAAAGGTTCGTGTGTACGTGCAAAAGTACGCATGTATGTGTAAAGGTACGCGTGTACGTGTAAAGGTTTGCGTGTACGTGTAAAGGTACGCGTGTACGTGTAAAGGTTCGTGTATACGTTTTAAGGTACGCGCGTGCGTGTAAAGGTACGTGTGAAGGTACCCGTGTACGTGTAAGGGTACGTGTGTACGTACAAAGGTACGCGTGTACGTGTAAAGTACGTGTGTGCGTGCAAAGGTACGCGTGTACGTGTAAAGGTTAGTGTACGTATAAAGGTACGTGTAACAGTACGTGTGTACGTGTAAAGGCACGCATGTACGTGTAAAATTTCGAGTGTACGTGCAAAGGTAAGTGTGTACGTGTAAATGTACACGCGTGCGTGTATAGGTACGCGTGTGCGTGTAAAGGTACGCGTGTACGTGTAAAGGTACGCGTGAACGTGTAAAGGTTCGTGTGTACGTGTAAAGGTACGTGTGTACGTGTAAAGGTTCGTGTGTACGTGTAAAGGTACGTGCGTGCGTGTAAAGATACGCGTGTGCGTGTAAAGGTGCGTGCGTGCGTGTAAAGGTACGCGTGTACGTGTAAAGGTACGTGCGTGCGTGTAAAGGTACGCGTGTACGGGTAAAGGTACGCGTGTACGTGTAAAGGTACGTGTGTACGTGTAAAGGTACGTGCGTGCGTGCATAACGAAGAACACAAAGGGTAGGAAAGAGATAAAGGTACCTTGCTCAGCTTTAATTTCTCACATGGTAATTAGTGTTTGTCGATAGTAAGGGCGTGTTTATAGGTTGGAAGGTGAGCAAGCTCCCCCCAAAGTAGACGGTGTTGTTACTGGTGGTATCTTCTATATATTCTTAAAGAAATAACTCCGGTGTATTCTGAGTGACCTGAACGGGCATATCTCATCCTGCATAAGGACTTTTCACGTTTTGCTTTGATTTTTGTTATGATGTAGATTGTTTAGTAAAGATCAGCATTTGATCATTGCGTATTAGGAATTCCTTTTTGGACTTTCTTGATGAAGTTTAAGGTAAGGAGGACAGATGTTGTCTTAGTAAAGGTGATATCTCAAATCTTACACAAAGGTACGGGTGACAGGTGTTGTCTTAATAGTACAGGTGATATCTCTATCTTACACACAGGTTCGGGTGACAGGTGTTGTCTTAATAGTACAGGTGATATCTTTATCTTACACGCAGGTACGTGAGACAGGTATTGTCTTAGTACAGGTTATATCTCTATCTTACACACAGGTACGGGAGACAGTTGTTGTCTTAGTACAGGTGATGACTCAATCTTACACGCAGGTACGGGAGACAGGTGTTGTCTTAGTACAGGTGATATATCTTTCTTATACACAGGGACGGGAGACAGGTGTTGTTTAAGAAGAGGTGATATCTCTATCTTACACACAGGTACGTGAGACAGGTGTTGTCTTAGTACAGGTGATATCTCTTTTTTATACACAGGTACGGGAGACAGGTGTTGTGTTAGTACAGGTGATATCTCTATCTTACACACACAGGTACGGGAGACAGGTGTTGTCTTAGTACAGGTGATATCTCTTTCTTATACACAGGTACGGGAGACAGGTGTTGTTTAAGTACAGGTGATATCTCTATCTTACACACAGGTACGGGGGACAGGTGTTGTCTTAGAACAGGTGATATCTCTATCTTACACACAGGTACGAGGGACAGTTGTGTCTTAGTAAAGGTGATATCTCTATCTTACACACAGGTACGGGAGAAATGTGATATCTCTATCTTACACACCGGAACAGAAGACAGGTGTTTTCTTAGTACAGGTGATATCTCTATCTTACACAGGAGTACGGGAGACAGGTGTTGTCTTAGTACAGGTGACATCTCTATTTTACACACAGGTACGAGAGACAGGTGTTGTCTTAGTACAGGTGATGACTCTATTTACACACAGGTACGGGAGCCTGTGTTGTCTTAGTACAGGCTATATCTCTTTCTTATACACAGGTACGGGAGACAGGTGTTGTTTAAGTACAGGTGATGACTATCTTACAACACCTAGGAGTAAAACTTAAATTCAATATTAAATATAATCATATACAGAAACAGTTATCTGACCAAGGAAGAATAACACAGGTACGGGAGACAGGTGTTGTCTTAGTACAGTTGATGACTATCTTACACACAGGTACGGATGACAGTTGTTGTCTTAGTACAAGTGATATCTCCGTCTTATACATCGGTACAGGAGACAGGTGTTGTCTTAGTACAGGTGATATCTATATCTTACGCACAGGTACGGGATACAGGTGTTGTCTAAGAACAGGTGATAGCTCTATCTTACACACAGATACGGGAGACAGTTATTGTCTTAGTACAGGTGATATCTCTACCTTACACACAGGTACGGGAGACAGGTGTTCTCTTAGTACAGGTGATATCTCCCTCTTTTACACAGGTACAGGAGACAGGTGTTGTCTTAGTACAGGTGATATATCTATCTTACACGCAGGTACGGGAGACAGTTGTTGTTTTAGTACATATGATATATCTATCTTACACACAGGTACGAGAGACAGGTGTTGTCTTAGAACAGGTGATATCTTTATCTTACACACAGGTACGGGAGACAGGTGTTGTCTTAGTACAGGTGATATCTCCCTTTTTACTCGGGTACAGGACACAGGTGTTGTCTTAGTACAGGTGATATCTCTATCTTACACGCAGGNCGGTACAGGAGACAGGTGTTTTCTTAGTACAGGTGATATCTATATCTTACGCACAGGTACGGGATACAGGTGTTGTCTAAGAACATGTGATAGCTCTATCTTACACACAGGTACGGGAGACAGTTGTTGTTTTAGTACAGGTGATATCTCTATCTTACACACATGTACGAGAGACAGGTGTTGTCTTAGTACAGGTGATATCTCTATCTTACACACAGGTACGAGAGACAGGTGTTATCTTAGAACAGGTGATATCTTTATCTTACACACAGGTACGGGAGACAGGTGTTGTCTTAGTACAGGTGATATCTCCCTCTTTTACACAGGTACAGGAGACAGGTGTTGTCTTAGTACAGGTGATATATCTATCTTACACACAGGCACGGGGGACCGGGACAGGTGTTGTCTTAGTACAGGTTATATCTCTATCTTACACACAGGTACGAGAGACAGTTGTTGTGTTAGTACAGGTGATATCTCTATCTTACACATACAGGTACGGGAGACAGATGTTGTCTTAGTACAGGTGATGACTCTATCTTACACACAGGTAAGTATGACTAGTGTACTTTTTAGAACATGTCATTTTGCGAGATTTCTATAAACCTAATCCTTGTTCTTTTCCAGACTCGAACCTGGAGCTTGATGCTATCGTGAGACAGTTTGATTTTCGGAAAGCAAAGAGCAAAGATGAGTACGCTCTCCAGGAGTGTTTAGCTCGTAGTAGTAGGCGGTTGGTTTCTAAAGGAAATGCAGACAATGTCAAACGAGATGTAGCCGCCCTACAGGACATGATCTGTCATAAAGGGTTTCCTATACGGAACACGCCCGCGTGTTCTATGGCTTCTGCTGTGGTTAAACAACTATCAGAAATAACGGAGTAAGAAGTTTTGATTTGACTGAGTAAATAGTTCTGATTTGACTGATTAAATAGTTCTGATTTGGCTGAGTAAGAAATTCCTGATTAAACTGAGTAAGTAGTTCTGATTGGAATGAGTAAGTAGTTCTGATTCGACTGTGTACATATTTCTGATTTGACTGAGTAAGTAGTTCTGTTGACTGAGTAAGTAGTTCTGATTTAACTGAGTAAGTAGTTTTGATTTAACTGAGTAAGTAGTTCTGTTGACTGAGGAGGTAGTTCTGATTTGACTGAGTAAGTATTTCTGTTGACTGAGTAAATAGTTTTGATTTAACTGAGTAAGTATTTCTGTTGACTGAGTAAGTAGTTCTGATTTAACCGAGTAAGTAGTTCTGTTGGCTGAGGAAGTAGTTCTGATTTAACTGAGTAAGTAGTTATGTTGACTGATGAAGTAGTTCTGATTTGACTGAGTAAGTAGTTCTGATTTGACTGAGTGAATAGTTCTGATTTAACTGAGTAAATAGTTCTGATTTGACTGAGTAAGTAGTTCTGATTTGACTGAGTAAGTAGTTCTGATTTGACTTAGTAAATAGTTCGGATTTGACTGAGTAAGTAGTTCTGATTTGACTGAGTAAGTAGTCCTGTTGACTGAGTAAATAGTTTTGATTTAACCGAGTAAGTAGTTCTGATTTGACTGAGTAAGTATTTCTGTTGACTGAGTAAGTAGTTCTGATTTAACCGAGTAAGTAGTTCTGATTTGACTGAGTACGTAGTTCTGATTTGACTGAGTAAGTAGTTCTGGTTTGACTGAGTAAGTAGTTCTGATTTGACTGAGTAAATAGTTCGGATTTGACTGAGTAAGTAGTTCTGATTTGACTGAGTAAGTAGTTCGGATTTAACCGAGTGAGTAGTTCTGATTTAACCGAGTAAGTAGTTTTGAGTTGACTGAGTAAGTATTTGATTTGACAGGATAACACAGAGTTAGTATTTATCATTCAGTATGTAAGCTATAACGTGTGCGACCGATGACGTCAGAATATGTAAGATATGCTTTAATCAGTCAGTTGACTGGTGTTATTCCTATTTACATAATAGTTATGTTTACATGTGTTTAGAGAAGGTTCCCCATCCTCTAAGGGAGTAATTAATAGATGCATTGTTGATATAACTGACAAGTACTACCACTGGTCTGGTCCCATCACATTTCCGCTCTCAGAACACTGTAGTTCATTATTATGATTTTGTTGTTTATTTTAACTTAAATTTTGTCATTAAAGTCCGTCAGGTAAGATTCCCTTTTCAAGTATGATTGACAAAATCTAAAGTAACGCGGGACTGAAGTTAACAATGCACACTTACAGTTATTTGTCAGTTGTACGGGGATGCTTAACTCCATTTAGTATTTCCAATCCGAGCTTCATCGAGTTCATTGGTTAAGGCTTGTAGTTAGATATACGTAATTGTTGTCATGGCCCACTTGAAATCTAGCTGCTCTTATGTTTAGGTACTATGTTTATGTCGTATGTATAGGTGTTATGTTTAGGTCTTATGTAAAGGTCTAACGTTTATGTCTTATTTATAGGTCTAACGTTTATGTCTTATGTATAGGTCTAACGTTTATGTTTTATGTATAGGTCTAACGTTTATGTCTTATGTATATGTCTAACGTTTATGTCTTATGTATAGGTATAACGTTTAAGTCTTATGTATAGGTCTAACGTTTATGTCTTATTTATAGGTCTAACGTTTATGTCTTATGTATAGGTCTAACGTTTAGGTCTTATGCATAGGTCTAACGTTTAAGTCTTATGTATAAGTCGAACGTTTAGGTCTAATGTATAGGTCTAACGTTTAAGTCTTATGTATAGGTTTAACGTTTAGGTCTGATGTATAGGTCTAACGTTAAGTCTTATGTTTAGGTCTAACGTTTATGTCTTATGTATAGGTCTAACGTTTTAGTCTTATGTATAGGTCTAACGTTTAGGTCTTATGCATAGGTCTAACGTTTAAGTCTTATGTATAAGTCGAACGTTTAGGTCTAATGTATAGGTCTAACGTTTAAGTCTTATGTATAAGTCGAACGTTTAGGTCTAATGTATAGGTCTAACGTTTAAGTCTTATGTATAGGTCTAACGTTGATGTCTTATGTATATGTCTAACGTTTATGTCTTATGTATAGGTATAACGTTTAAGTCTTATGTATAGGTCTAACGTTTAAGTCTAACGTTCAGGTCTAACGTTTAAGTCTTATGTATAGGTCTAACGTTTATGTCTTATTTATAGGTCTAACGTTTATGTCTTATGTATAGGTCTAACGTTTGTGTTTTATGTATAAGTCTAACGTTTAGGTCTTATGTATAAGTCTAACGTTTATGTTTTATGTATAGATCCAACGTTTATGTCTTATGTAAAGGTCTAACGTTTATGTCTTATGTATAGGTCTAACGTTTAGGTCTTATGTATAGGTATAACGTTTAAGTCTTATGTATAGGTCTAACGTTTAGGTCTTATGCATAGGTCTAACGTTTAAGTCTTATGTATAAGTCTAACGTTTATGTTTTATGTATAGATCCAACGTTTAGGTCCTATGTATAGGTCTAACGTTTAAGTCTTATGTATAGGTCTAACGTTTAAGTCTAACGTTCAGGTCTAACGTTTAAGTCTTATGTATAGGTCTAACGTTGATGTCTTATGTATAGGTCTAACGTTTATATCTTATGTATAGGTCTAACGTTTGTCTTATGTATAGGTGAAACGTTTATGTCTTATGTATAGGTCTAACGTTTATGTCTTATGTATAGGTATAGCATTTAGGTCTTATGTATAGGTCTAACGTTTAAGTCTTATGTATATGTCTAACGTTTAGGTCTTATGTATAGGTTTAACGTTTATGTCTTATGTATAGGTCTAACGTTAGGTCTTATGTATAGGTCTAACGTTTATGTCTTATGTATAGGTCTAACGTTAATGTCTTATGTATAAGACTAACGTTTATGTTTTATGTATAGATCCAACGTTTAGGTCTTATGTATAGGTCTAACGTTTAAGTCTTATGTATAGGTGAAACGTTTATGTCTTATGTATAGGTCTAACGTTTATGTCTTATGTATAGGTATAACATTTAGGTCTTATGTATAGGTCTAACGTTTATGTCTTATGTATAGGTATAACATTTAGGTCTTATGTATAGGTCTAACGTTTAAGTCTTATGTACATGTCTAACGTTTATGTCTTATGTATAGGTCTAACGTTAAGTCTTATGTATAGGTCTAACTAGGTCTTATGTATAGGTTTAACGTTGATGTCTTATGTATAGGTCTAACGTTTATGTCTTATGTATAGGTCTAACGTTGATGTCTTATGTATATGTCTAACGTTTATGTCTTATGTATAGGTATAACGTTTATGTCTTATGTAAAGGTCTAACGTTTATGTCTTTTGTATAGGTCTAACGTTTAAGTCTTATGTATAGGTCTAACGTTTATGTCTTATGTATAGGTCTAACGTTTATGTCTTATGTACATGTCTAACGTTTATGTCTTATGTATAGGTCTAACGTTGAGGTCTTATGTATAGGTCTAACATTTAGGTGTTATGTTAAGGTTTTATGTTTGCAATAATAATTTAGTCCAAGCTAGTCGAATAGTGGTATGTGTGGTTATATTTTAACAAAATTCGGTCTTAGTTTAGCTAACATAAAATAATGTGCGCGAGTTGTTTGTTTAATTATAATATATATATATTTATATAAACAGGAAATCTGTTTTTCAGAATATCTTTTTTGATTATTACATAAATAAACTTTTACAAAATATCAGTTTGCTGGTAGAAGTTTTCAAAAAATGACAAGTTCATTGATTTCAATCTTCCCCTTTTTGTGATCTTATTCTGTCCTGCAGTTTGTCGAGATAGACATACAAACACTGATTTAAAAGCATCACACATCCATGTTTTTCCCGAATAGGGAAATAATAGTAGTCGTGGTTGAAAGGATACTGACGCACACCTTATTGTTATTAGTTTAATACTTATACATGCATGAACGACCGTCCACGTACCTGTAATACCTGGCTAGGGATGTTGATGTGTTTGGAATACAGTTTTAAAATTTACTTTTTTAGTTACTATTGTCCAAAGTATTCCCGAACGTTAATGACAGAGGTAAACACAGGTCTGAAATGATGAATTCTTTAAATATCTATATTTCTTAAAGCATATGGATAGTTAACAGGTTCGATAGCCCAATTCGGAATCTATTTATAGCGATGCATCCCTAGCTAGCATGTCACGGTTAGTCTCTGTTCTAGCTGCATCACGTTGAGCCTGCTCTTACTTTTCTCAATTTCGTATACATTTTTTATATATTATAGGGTATCACGTTTAATATATATACATATTTGTTCAATACCGATTTATCATATTTTACGTGATCAGACTATTTTGTATATGAATTAAATTGACTCCAAAATGTCTATGAATGCTACTAAAAATCATGAAGTTTCCATCTTAAATCAATTCAAGATTTTCATCTATATCGTTGATCATACTTTTGATAAGCCATAGATGATCATTTCTGTTTTTCATTTTGCTGTTTAAAAATAGTACGTTCAACTCTTTAACATTGCTTCTATTATATTTAGGAAAAAAATGAATGTGGAAGAAAACCAGAAGATAATGTTTGAATTTCTCCTGTCCTGTATTGCTACTGGACCGTCAAGTTCCCATGCTTCAGAAATCATACCTAGTATTGTAGGAATGAAAGGCATGGTGAAATATTTAACAGTAAGTGGGACTGTATAACACTTCTGATTGGACGATGTGTTCATGTAACAACACTTCTGATTGACCGATGTGATCATGTAACAACACTTCTGATTGACCGATGTGATCATGTAACCACACTTCCAACTGACCGATGTGTTCATCTAGCAACACTACTGATTGACCGATGTGATCATGTATCAACACTTCTAATTGACCGATGTGATCATGTGACAACACTTCTAATTGACCGATGTGTTCATGTAGCAACACTATTGATTGACCGATGTGTTCATGTAACAATACTTATGATTGGCCTATGTGATAATGTAACAACACTTCTGATTGACCGATGTGTTCATTAGACAACACTTCTGATTGGACGATATGTTCATGTAACACCACTTCTGATTGAATGATGAATATTTCTCATTGGCAGATATGTCCAATTTACGTAAATGACAGTATTTAGAATATTGTAATGAAATAGATTGTGAGTGAGCAATTTCTGAAAAAGGTCAGAGCAAGTGTTGTTGGTATGGACCGAGAAAAGGTCAGAGCAAGTGTTGCTGGTATGGATCGAGGAAATGTCAGAGCAAGTGTTGTTGGTATGGACCGAGGAAAGGTCAGAGCAAGTGTTGTTGGTATGGACCGAGAAAAGGTCAGAGCAAGTGTTGTTGGTATGGACCGAGAAAAGGTCAGAGCAAGCTCGAGCTAGAAATCTTCTTGTCAGACTTGAATGTTAAATTAACCATGTCTGAAATAACTTTTTTTGCAGGCATTAATAATACTTGCAGATTTTTATAATGTTATATGACAGGAACCAATCCTACACGGGTAGGCATTGCCTGGTCTACAATCCTACACGGGTAGGCATTGCCTGGTCTACAATCCTACACGGGTAGGCATTGCCTGGTCTACAATCCTAAACGGGTAGGCATTGCCTGGTCTACAATCCTACACGGGAAGGCATTGCCTGGTCTACAATCCTATACCGGTAGGCGTTGCCTGGTCTACAATCCTACACGGATAGGCATAGCCTGATCTACAATCCTACACGGGTGGGCATTGCCTGGTCTACAATCCTACACGGATAGGCATAGCCTGGTCTACAATCCTACACGGGTAGGCATTGCCTGGTCTACAATCCTAAACGGGTAGGCATTGCCTGGTCTACAATCCTACACGGATAGGCATAGCCTGGTCTACAATCCTAAACGGGTAGGCATTGCCTGGTCTACAATCCTACACGGGAAGGCATTGCCTGGTCTACAATCCTATACCGGTAGGCGTTGCCTGGTCTACAATCCTACACGGATAGGCATAGCCTGATCTACAATCCTACACGGGTGGGCATTGCCTGGTCTACAATCCTACACGGATAGGCATAGCCTGGTCTACAATCCTACACGGGTAGGCATTGCCTGGTCTACAATCCTAAACGAGTAGGCATTGCCTGGTCTACAATCCTACACGGGTAGGCATTGACTGGTCTACAATCCTACACGGGTAGGCATTGCCTGGTCTAGTTTTCTGGATCCAGTTTTATTGTCAAAGGTGATCTGTCCGCAGTTATAAATACTGACAAATGTGTTACTGAACATGAAGACTGTGTTGTTTATGTTGCTGTCCATTTAAACACATTACCCGTTTATAAACAAAAGAGTATGATCATTTATAAGATGAATATTTGATTTATTTAATTGTATTATATATTATATGTCTTGTATGGTAATATGATCTAATTACCGTATTTTATAATTGTATTTCAGTTATTGTTGCCAGTGAATTCACTTGGAATTTTCTTACCTTTGCTAGTAGATGTATACCTGATAACGAACTTACCACTAGGCCCAATGATAAGCCTTGAGGGATTCAGACCTAAAACATACAAGATTACGAGATAAAGTTTAAAGAATTGCAATAAATTCTAAAAAGCTTTTAGTGTCATTCTCATTCAGTTGCTCGTAAAGAGTTGTTGTCCCAATACTTAACTATTTAAACATGCAATTAAGTTTGACTGCTATTTGGTGATGAAAACATGGTTTTGGATGTGAACTCAGATATAACGACATGTTTAAACTTTGAACAGAACAAACGGTGTCTCTTGCGGTAAAACCAGGTTACTTGGTGTAGCAATGTTTGAGTGTTGAGGATGCCCTTGCTCGTATCAGAGAGAACAGAGCAATATATATATATAAAGCATTTCCGTTTTTTCTTTTGTAAACAAATATCGTTGTGGTAGTTAGGTCAGGGCCAGTGTGTTGTTGTCCTGCAGGGTCAGCTTCATGATTGATGGCCAAATGTGAGATTGCTGGTAAATTTACTTACCTACAGAAACTTACGAGAATGCACACACAAGATAATTTTAAAAAGAATTACATTGAAAAAATAAAGCATTGTAAAAAAAATCTCGACCTAAATCGAATGTAGTAAACAGAAATATGGCACACAGCTTATTCATAGTTCTAAGTTTACGAATGAACTTTTAAGTTAAAACCTGGTTTACGAGTACGAATTCTTCATGGATGTTTTGTGTTCCATTGGCGATACTAAAGTTTGAATAGTGTCTTTTTGCAGTAAAAAAATTAACCGTTCAAAATATGCCAGCTGTGTGCTTCAGATTTTATTATTTGTTAATATGTTTTGTTTAAACGCCTACAGAAATTACAAGGACCGGAGCTGACTAGATTGTTTGACACAATCAAAAGTGTAGAATTCACACCGGAACAGCCGACTCAAGATCTTGATGACCAGGCGACACACTGGGGCGATTGTATGCTCCACTCGCTGGTGTCGAATGTCGTCAAGTAAGAACGCTACGTTGTCTCTATAATATCACACTGTATATGGCCTAATGAAAGCATCAGACTTTTAACTCAACCGTAACTTCTTCTGTTGCCAAACGTATAACCAACTTATGGTTCTCATCTTCTGCCAAACTTATAATTCACTTGTGATACCATCTGTTGCCAAACTTATAATTCACTTGTAATTCTCATCTGTTGCCAAACTTAACTCCCTTGTGATTCTCATCTAACTCACTTGTGATTCTCATCTTCTGCCAAGCATAACTCCCTTGTGATTCTCATCTTCTGCCAAACGTATAACTCACTTGTGATTTTTATATTCTGCCAAACTTATAACTCACTTGCGGTTATAAATCATTATTTATATTACTGTATTTAAATATAAGGTTTATTTTATTTCATTTTAGCTCACCTGCCCGAAGGGCAAGTGAGCTTATGCCATGGTGCGGCGTCCGTCGTCCGTCCGTCGTCCGTCGTCCGTCTGTCCGGCGTCAAATTTTTACTTTAAACAACTTCTTCTCAGTAACCAAAAGGCCTATGATGATGATATTTAGCCAGTAGTATGCTGGGATCAAGGGCTACCAAGTTTGTTCAAATAAATGACATTGACCCACTTTCAATGTCACAGGGGTCAAATATGTTAAAATCTTCAAACAACTTCTTCTCAATAACCAAAAGGCCCAGGGTACTGATATTGGGCCTGTAGCAGGCTGGGCTAAAGGGCTACCGAGTTTGTCCAAATGAATGACTTTGACCTACTTTCAAGGTCACTGGGGTCAAATGTCGTAAAATCATCAAGCGACATTTTCTCAATAACCAAAAGGCCCAGGGTACTGATATTGGGCCTGTGGCATGCCGGGATGAATGACTACCAAGTTAGTTCAAATGAATGACATTGACCCACTTTCAAGGTCACTGGGGTCAGACGTCTTAAAATCTTCAAACAACTTCTTCTAAATAACCAAAAGACCCAGGGTACTGATACTGGGCCTGTAGCATGCTAGGATGAAGGGCTACCAAGTTTGTTCAAATGAACGATCTTGACCAACTTTCAAGGTCACAGGGGACAAATGTCGTAAAATCATCAGGCGACATTTTCTCAATAACCAAAAGGCCCAGGGTACTGATATTGGGCCTGTAGCAGGCTGGGATAAAGGGCTACCAACTTTGTTCAAATGAATGACCTTGAATCACTTTCAAGGTCACTGGGGTCAGATGTCTTTAAAATGTTCAAACGACTTCTTCTAAATAACCAAAAGGCCCAGGGTACTGATATTGGGCCTGTAGCAGGCTGGGATTAAGTGCTACCGAGTTGGTCCAAATGAATGACCTTGACCCACTTTCAAGGTCACTGGGGTCAGACGTCTTAAACTCTTCAAACAACTTCTTCTCAATAACCAAAAGGCCCAGGGTACTGATACTGGGCCTGTAGCATGCTAGGATGAAGGGCTACCAAGTTTGTTCAAATGAATGATCTTGACCAACTTTCAAGGTCACAGGGGTCAAATGTCGTAAAATCTTCAAGCGACATTTTCCCAATAACCAAAAGGCCCAGGGTACTGATATTGGGCCTGTAGCATGCTGGGATGAATGACTACCAAGTTAGTTCAAATGAACGACCTTGATTCACTTTCAATCTAATGTCCTTGTTCGACAATCAAGGTCACAGGCGTCATATGTTTTAATCTTTTAATAGGTTCTTATGAAATCTTAAGATTACAAGTGTGAGATTAATA